CGATGGCCTCCAACCTAATAGCGATGGCCTCCATACTAATTAATAGCGATGGCCTCCAACCTAATAGCGATGGCCTCCATACTAATTAATAGCGATGGCCTCCAACCTAGTGCTAATATTTTCGATGGGGTTTTCATAGAGACTTCTGAAAGGCTGGTTGGCTCCGAATTCTCAAGCGACTCTCACGGGCGCCGGAGGGGTGAGCCGGACTCAAGCCAGCGTGGACCTGTAGAAGGACAGGGCTCACAAGGCAGGGGGACCTTGTAGAGGGGCGAAGAAGAAGCACAAGCTTGCAGGACTGCTTGCAGGGGTTGTTGGATGTGTGTATTTCAGAGGAAATGTCCAGCATGCCACACTCACTGCATTGAACATCCGTGGGGGGTAGACGACAGTGCACAGGTTAAACATGTAACCAGCGGATCATTTTACAATGTCCTTCACGATCAAATGTCAAAATGCAGCACCCCAAGCCCATCCAAACCCTGTCTCAGATGCAAATGAGTACCACTGTAACCTTAAACGCAAAACTTGGAACCCCCTAGATGATTGCAGTCCAGTGCCTTTCTGCAAGCTTGTGGATCTCCAGTCCGCGGACGTCTGAGAGGATCTTTTTGCTGGGTTCGAACCCAGGTTTTGGGTCGGAGTCCATCGCCAATAGGTTGGAGGCCATCGCCATTAGGTTCCTTTTGCTATTAGGTTGGAGGCCATAGACCAGGTTTTGGGCATTGGGTTTTGGAAAAAAATGAAAAACTGACTGGCGCTTAGTAGGGAATGAGAGAATGGATCCAAAGGAATCTCTATTGGGCTACTAAGCACCAGTCAGAAAAGGTGGAACATCTGGAAGGTCACACCAAGATGCCATCGTCTCGAAGGTCCGCAAACATGGGTCAGCCGTATTTGACCAAGTGGCACATTTGGGGCATTTCCCTAATCCACAAACATCTGACTTTGGATCGTGGGTCGACTGATCAAATGCAGCCTGACAAAGTTCCTCCCCCCTTGCCCTCCAAGGGAAGCTAAGCAAATCAACTCCTTTGTAACCAGCGGCCAGGCCGCCCGCGATATGGCCGAAAAGGAAGCCCCTTCACCTTGCGACTTCCTGTCGCCGAATCGATCCGATGGCGCATATGGCTGTGGGTCAAAGCCCGGGTATCTCGGTTGACCGAAAATGAAAAGAATGGCCTACCAGGTCAACCTATAGAAAGGATGTTTGGGCTCCAGGTTTGGACCCACAGCGAATTCACGCGACGGCAATGCTGCCCAAAGGCCGGAGGTCACTGTTGGTATGCCTGCAGAGACTGTGGGACGGTTTTTATCCTCCAGTGGGACTGCGGTTTGAAGGGCCACCCAAACACGCAGCCATCAACACCTTCACTGCGGTCTGGGGGCAAACGTCTTGATTCATGGCTGTCTGACTGCAGCAACAACTGATCATCACCGGGTGGCCCTGTGGTCATTGTGTTTTTGACGCAAGAAAAACACAGTCAAAACATATCAAAACAAAACCCTCCACTGTCTTGCTGTGTAAAGTGCAAAAATCGGTACAAGGTTACAAAAAGGTATCCGATTTACTTTCTTGGGAATCATTCAATTGTGAATTGTGAAGTACAAAAGTCGGTGCAATGGTTATGAAAGGGCATCCCATTCACTATTTTTTGGGAAATCATTCTAAGTATATTATATATATATAATCTGGGCTGACTTCAGTCATCAGTAGCTGTATCGGGTTGCGTGCCTACCATCCGGCTTGGAGAAGGTGAGCGGGAACCTGAGAAAACAACGATCAACACAGTTCGACACAAGTGGAGGAATGCCCTCTTGACACCAAGTGTTTCTGGACTGCTATTGTGGTGGGAATGCTGATGATAGTGGTTGCAGGTGCTGTTATTGAGGATCTTGATGATGTGTGGAGCATTCAGAATGGTATAAGTATGGTGCATTTGTTGGCATACACTACAGTATTTCGGTATGCACATGCTAGTGCAAAGCGCAGAAACAACATGAATTTCCGCGTGCTACTGCATCTGGCTAAGGCGAGAGCTTACAATGGAAGCCGCCCCTAGAGCCTAGGCAAGAAACGAGTAAAGCCGCACCAATGACTTACAAAAAAATCGGGCAGTTGGCTAGATACTTTATATAAGATTTTGTGAGCCAGCCGAGTGTGGACTACCTGAAAACCTTACCAGGAACT